ATACAGCAGAGCCATGAATAACCACTTGTGAAGAGGTATTTTAATTTCCTAATGTCCCAGCAGTTGCAAGACGGTAGATAATTCTTAGGGAATCTTTTTGTGGACTATTGAGACTGTATTTGAAGGACATAGATATTTGAAATCCAATGGTTTCCACGAGAATGACTCATCAAGCTTACTTTCCAGAACTTTCAGCAGGTTTGGGTCTTATTATGGTATGACTGAAGGGTCAGCTGAGTTAAATGGTACTTGTGCTCTATTTGGAAGGTTGATGTTGGTCATAATCACACATCTATTCACATCCTTGTGGCTGGCCAGAGAAAATAGTCCTCTGCCGTTTGAAGTCCACCTCCTTTTAGCACCTATAAAACTGGTGTTTTGTGCTATTTCCTTGAGCCTTTTGGGAGTGAAACTTTGCAAAAAAAAACCACTTGATTCTTTGCAAAAACACTCCATGAAATAAAATTACAGTTTTCTAAGGCTCTTAGTTTCAACCTGTTATTTGGCAGGAGCCCAAATCTCAGTCATAGATCAGCTTCATTAGTGTAGAGTCAAACTGCATTTTCCTCTAAGCCAAAGAGACGCAAGCTATGTGGGAATCAGGAATAAAGCTTTGCACATGAAGCTAACTTTATTGAAACAGGCAAGTAATTTCCTTCCTTATCCTGCTGTATATACCACCAATGGGCTACCCCAGTAAAACTTCATTACCTTCAAGGTCATGCCCCCATTTGATTTTCCAGGCCTCCCTTCCAATTTCCAGGCCTCCCTTCCAATGAGCCAGTTGCTGACTTCCCAGCCTCTCATCTCCTTCAGCCTGGCAGAGTCTGTGTTTAAGCACAGCATGCAACTGCTAGCGTGTCACTACAGAAATGTAAAAAGCTCAAGCCTGCAGGATAAAGTATTTCTGCATTGCTTTGGGGGCAAGAGGAACAGGAAGGGCCCCTGAAGTCGGTGATCTGTTCCTTCAGTTTATAGTTTTATCTTCAGACCCGAAGTGAGAGATCATCATCAATGAGCTTTTACTACAGCCTCGAGAGCTGACTCAGAAAATAATGTGCTCCCGTACCCACCCCGACGTGGTAGAGCGCACGGGGCTTTTTTGGTCCGAATGGTCCCGGGAGGAAGCAGCCCGTAAGGTATAGGATTGCAGCATGGCGGGCAGGCTGTGTTCTGGCCCTGGCTTTGGCCACCTGTGGAGCGGGGCCAGGGAAGCTGGCTGGGCGATGATTCAGCGCCTCCTTTCTCCCTTCTCGTCGGGGAATAGCGGGAGCCGCCAGGCACCCCGAAGGCGGGGACAGAGCGCCGGGTGCCGCCCCGCTCTCCGGGTGCCGCAGGCCCCGTAGCCCCTGCGGAGCTGGGGCGCTGGAGCAGCTCTGCAGGCTTCCCTGCGGAGGGGAGGAGGGGGAGGAGGTCTGGGCTCAGCCGGCTGCGTGATGCTGAGGCAGGCAGGCAGCGCGCCAGGGTTGGAGGTGCGGCGGGGGAAGGGACCCGCAGCGGAGGAGGGCACTGCAGCCTGGCCGGGAGCCAGGGACCGCGGGCACGCTGCGGCCGCGGAGCCGGCGGGGGTGTGCGGGTCTGCCTGCCTGCCTGCCTGCCGGGAGGTGCTGCTGCGGGCGGGCTGGGCCTGCCGGTGGAGGAGAAAAAGGCGGGGAGAGATGCTCTCCAGCCTCAGTTTAGCCAGCCGGGCTGGGGCAGGAGCCGTTTGGAAGAGCCCATTCCCGGTCCGTGCGAGCTGACGGCTCCTGGCGGCAGCAGGGTGTGGAAGGGGGCGATGCCCCCGCATGCAGAGGACCCCCTGAATGCGTCCCCCCTGCGGGTAGCCCGCCATCCCTCTGTCCAGCTGTGCAGTGTTTTGTGTGTTCGGTTTAACTTCGTGGCAACCCTTATACGGAAGATGCAAGGTCTCCACGTTCGTTTCTGTTCAGCCCCGCACCAGGAAGATGTGAGCAAAGCAGAAATATGATTTAAAGGAGGGCAGATAAGTGTAGATAGGATGGAGGGTCACAAAGATTACTGGAGATTGAACGCAGGCAGTTTGCCAGGAAGACCAGTGCAGGAAATATGTGGACAGGACCGGGGATTAAACACAGACTCGGAGAAGTGTCAGCAGGGAAAATTCTCTTACTGGAAATAGGAAGGTTGAAAAATTAGACATGGATAAAGAAGGAAAGGAATTTTAAAAAATTTCTGCCAAGCACTCAGATGCTGTAGTATCTCATCTGTGCAATGAATAGAATATTCCCAGCTGGTTGTCAACTTTCACTCCACTTTGAAGAGTGATGCTGTAGCTTCACACTTGAGGAACAACTTGGGTGTGTGAAAGTGTGTCTGGTTTTCCCAGATTTATCAGTTGATCGAATGAAAGGTGCATCCTTTCTCTCGAAACCGTGCTTACTTGTAGCCACAGACCACTGCACCTGTCACGGCAGTGCTACTTTTTGTTACCCTTTCTACAGAGGTTGTGTTGTCAGTGCTGTTTGAAATAGGTTTTGAGATGCTCTAGAGAGACTGCACTGATGCAGGATATTACCAGCAAAAGGGAACATGTGCTTTGTAATAAGAGAAGCCATGTATGTAAATATGCAGTGCAAGCTGTTCGTTCTGTCTGAGGCTGCTGATCACATCATTAACCTAAGGACCAGACACTTCAGTGGTAATGTAGGCTAGATTGTAAGATGATTTATCTTTTTACATTCCTTCAGAGAGTGTTATCACTAGTTATCACTAGCTGTACTTTAAGGTAAATGCTCTAAGCACTTGATTGTAGTAGCATTGTGATTACTTCAGTGGGCTACAGCCGCCTCACAGGAAGCTTTGTGATCAGACATCCATCAATTAGTCCTTGACATGACGGTCCGTAAAAACACTATGGGATTCATTCAGATTTTGATAAATCTTTTCCATGTGAATGTTACTAATGTTCCCATGGAAGGAGGGGTGAGATGGGAGTAGAGTTGGAGGCAGAAAGAGAACATGGATAGAATCAGATGCCTCTTTTGACACACCAAAAATAGATAACTACAAAGGAATTTACCTTTCATGTGCCTAAACAAGACACCAACAAAAATTAGTTCAGAGCAATTTTTAGCACTTGATTCTTTGTCTCCTTATGCATCCTGCAGCCATTCATACTATGGAGAAAGGGGGATTCTCACCAGCAAAACTTCAATGCAAATCTTTCATTAAGTTCAAGGACCTGGAAATTGTATTATAAGTGCCTTGCCTTTCATACACATCTTTATTGTTGCACAGGTGTATTTTTCTGTAAGAGACAAAAGAGACTGGGAATAGATCTGATTCTAGTCTTACTTTCATTATGTTAGCTGGACTGTTGATTTACCCCTGTATTATACTGCATTGGTGGCAATGGTAGTGCTACATATTAGTGACAGTGAGAAATGCCAGCCAAATTTAATGAAGTGTAAGCCTTTAATTAATAATAATGATAAATAATAAAAGAGTTTATTTTTTTAATTTTTTTTTAGTCTAAGGTGAGTGAGGATCTATTCTGGCAATATGTGAGCTCTTGAAAAATGCATTCAGGAACTGATTTTAGTGTGAAGTCTGGGGCTTTTTGTGTTTGGAAAAGGGTCTGGAAAGGAGGTTGGAAAATGGAATTTTAAAAAAGCAAACCTCTTTGCAATAGCTTGAATGAAATTTATCAGAGATGGGAATGGCTTGGGGTTTTTTATTTCCTCTGCTTGATTTAAGATACATTCCAGCCTTATTCCTAGGAAATAAAACTTACTCAGGAGCTTGGAAAGAAAAGCTGTCTCTAGGTGTTAGGCAGGGAGAAACTGCTTCTGGAAAGAGGTCTTCCCCCTGGGAGAGATCGAATATCAGCCTAAGCAAGCCCAGTCCAACCCAAAGAGCTCCAACCGACACCCAGTCCTTGCTGGAGGACTTTGCCATGGATGGCCGCTGCTGCCTCTGACCACGCTTTGCCTGGAGAGAGGGAGTGGGTGGGTGAGCAACTCCTGTCCGCTCCCTCCCTTTGATTTGATGGCCTTTATTCCTCCTAATTGGATAAAATAGGAAGTCACTGACAGTCCTGCGTTGCTGGGTGTACTGATTTCACTCAGAGCAGCCCTGCAGAGTGCGGGGGGTGGGGTAGGGGAGGAAGGAGCGAGTCTGTACATCAGGGAAACAGGCTGCGAGGGGGCTGGGGGAGCGGGGCGGGCGGGGGGGGGAACGGAGGAAAGTGAATGAGCGCTCAAGGAGGACAAAGAGGGAGGGGAGATAAAGGGAGTTACCACCGTCTTGGCATCGCTCTTGCTTTCAAACCTCTCTGTAATGATATTGTTTGCAGTGATGCTCAGACAGCGAGCACCTGCTGCTCTGTAATGATTCAGCCTCTTTCAGCCGCCGCTGTAACACGACAGGATGCTGCTGCTACTGTCACTTCTGCCGTTGCCGCTGTTGTTAGAGATTTTGCTTTTGCTCCTTCTACCGCATGACAATTGTTTTCCTCGTCTGAGCAGATACCAGCCTCAGATGCTCAAGGTGAGAGTCTTGCCTTTCGCTCTGGGCTACTGGTTTACTTAATCTGGTCAGTTTGTTCAGTGTTTGTGGTTTTCTTTATCTCATGAACCCTCCTTATCCCTATTTTGTTTTGTTGTGCTTGCTTTTGGGGGAATGTTTCTTCCCCCCTGCAGAAGAGCTGGAATTGCTTGAGAGGCATTTAAGGAATTATAAAAGTGTCTAGCAAACAGGAGCTCAGTAATTGCAAAGCTATTCTCAGTTCAGAGAAGCAGAGACAGTGACAGAGGGCTTGGGGGCACAGGGACTGGGGGGGATCTAATTTTTCCTGTGCATTACTCCTCTCTCAGTTTGGATGATGTTGCTGAGCTTCGACCTTTTATTGACTCCCACTCTGTGATTTTTGCGGAGCACTGTGACTATTACTACCATCTCTTTTTGTCTGTGTCTCACAGTAATGGACTGTGATAGAGTTAAGGCCTTTTGGAGGTGAGCTGTTTGAGAGCTGATGCTTAAACATGTCTGAAGTAGCTGCCGACACTTTCCCCAGCCCCTCAGCTCAGCTGAGCCCTGATGCGTCCCTCAACGGGCTCCCGGATGAGGAGAACATGCCGGGGACCCAAAGAGAGGACAGGAGGGTCCAGGGGATAGCAGGCCTTGCCGCAACCTGCTGTGTGTGCCTGGAGGCAGAGCGACTGAAGGGCTGCCTCAACTCTGAAAAGATCTGCATCGCCCCTATCTTGGCTTGCCTGCTTAGCCTTTGCCTCTGCATTGCTGGTCTCAAGTGGGTCTTTGTGGACAAGATTTTTGAGTATGACTCTCCTACCCACCTTGACCCTGGGAGGATAGGACAAGACCCAAAGAGTGCTGTGGATCCTACAGCTCTGTCTGCCTGGGTGCCTTCGGAGGTGTATGCCTCACCCTTCCTCGTACCTAGCCCCAAGAGCCAGGCTGAAGTGACAGTGCACAGTGACAGCTCACTTGTACCCTCCAAACCGTTCCTCCAGCCTTCTCTATATAACCGCATCCTAGATGTTGGGTTGTTGTCCTCTGCCGCACCTTCGCTGTCACCACCCGCCCTGGAGCCTACCACAGCATCTCAGGCACAAGCAACAGAAACCAATCTCCAAACTACTCCAAAACTTTGTAAGTAAAAGCTATGTGTTTCTTTGGGGTTTTTTTACCTTTCACATTAAAAAAAAAAAAAAAAAAGGCACTTAACTGTTCTGTGACTGTCTACAAGGAGGGCCTGTGATTGACTTGTGAAGCTTAAGCATGTTAAGAAAGGTATAGCATGGGTTGCCTTCTGAGAACAGCATCTAGAATCCTCAGAACTTAATTCTGAGGTGGGCAGGACTTCATCTGGGATGTCTGTAAAGGGCTAGTACCACCTTTTTCTCTCCATCCACTTGCAGGGAAGTACACGATTTGCTTCAAGGGTTTATCTGATAGCTATTCCACATAGTGTATTTTCCTTATAAATTGGCTTTGTCTCGTGTGCTGGATCTTCCATGTGTGTTCTTTGCCTTGCCTGCAGAGCATTTCTGATACATCCTTCCTGAAGTCTGTGGCTGCCAAATATCCCTATCATCCTCATGAAACTCTCAGAACAGTGAGAAAAAGCAACAGCAGATTTGAAGCAGTTAGAAACTGGGAACTATTAATTTAGCATCTAGCTTATGATTTTTCCCTTTCTCTTAAGAGCAAAGCATACATTTCTCTGTGTCTTCCCTTATCTCTAGGAGCTGCTTCTTGTTTAACTTGTTTCTCATATATTGCCTTACTCCCTTTTGTGGGGCATTTCAGGAAAGCATTCTTGCCGATGTGAGAAGAGTCAATTTCTAAATTAATCTTTGCTCATCATAAAAACAAACAAAAAAAGGTATCCATTTTATTTTCTTAGTAATCATAAAGCATCAAAATACTGCATTGCTGAAGTGTCATTTCTTTGACATTCATGATTTTAACCCACCAAATTCAAATCAAACCAAGGCAGCAATTCCTGAGCTGTGTAAAGCTGTGTAACTCTAGTAATAAAGAAGACAGCACACTCTTCTGCTGAGAGCACAGGGCTGGGGCTCCCTGTGGAAAGCTGCAGTGATCAGAGTGAAAAATTGCAGGACCCCATGTCATTTATTCTCCCTCATGCCTTCCCTGTAATGCCGCAGGCTGGCACATTGAAGATGGCACATTCTGGACCTCACCCTGGAGCTCTGAAGTCACCAGAAGTTCACTTCTAAGTTTAGCCCGACTGGGACTGAACTTAGTATAGATATGTGGTGTTTAGATTAAATCTAACATTTTAGGCCAACCCCCTTGCCAGTGAAAATGAGCATAATTACAGTGATTTCAGAGGAGGTGCTTTCAGCTGAGAGTCAATCTTGAACAGCAGTTCCAGAATGAGTGAAAGAAAGTTCTGAGTATTCCTGTAGAAACCCTGCTGCCTCTTGCTTAGATAATGGGTGGCAGCCATCCTTCAGATCAAAAGTAATTTGTCAGATGAAAACAGTCTAATAGAGAAATACTGCTGTACCATTAAATGACAGGGGGCTTTGTCTGTGGTATTACTTGAATTAACCACCTTTGCAATTAAATAGAACTATACTAAGTGAGCTTTCTTTTAAATGTTGCTGATGCATAAAATCTTTTTTGTAGTGCAAACATTCTGACATTAAATATATGACTTTTTAACACATTTTGCTTCATAAAGTGACCAGACACCACTATTCAGTCATAATTGCCTCAAGAATCCCTCTTGAATTTCTACGTATGTGGCAAACCTTTTTCAAAAACATGCGAACTTCATCTCTGAAGTAAAGGAAAGGGCAGAGGGGCTCAGAAAAGATTCTTTGGAGTTGTCACTGACAAACAGCCATTATCTGCATTCAGAGCTGCTTACATCTGGGAAATAAATTGTGGTCCAGAAGTTTGGTGATTAGGTTGAGAGGGGTTTTTTTGATTTTTATTTGGGGGTTTTGTGTGTGTAGGAGTTTTTGGGGTTTGAGGGTTTTTTTAAGGCATTGTAGAGTTCCATAGCTACAGACTGAAAGGAGAGGGACAACTGGTAGCAGATCAAGTTTGGTTTGCTCTAGGGGAGAATGTTGCATAGACAGAATTTATTCTAACTGTGGTACATAATTCTGACTGTGGCAAGCATCTCTGATTATCTGCAAAGAAAAATCAGAAAATCTAGCTGGAAAAATACACGGCAGAAGGTCTGCCTAAGAATTCCAAGAGGCATGAAAAGAACTTTTTTGGATGGCTCTTAAAGCACTGTCTTGGGGTTTTTGAAACAGCTGCATTTCAAACACATCATTGTGTTTTATGTAGAGCAAGATTTGTTGAAGAGGTTGACAGATTGCATCAGTGCTAACTTTTTTTTTAATGCCTTTGACAGCTATAAAATTTTCAGTGACATGGCTTGAAAAGTAGCATCTGCAAATTGGATTGTCCCTTCTTTTGCCTTTCAGTGTCCTTTTTTTCTTTTCAGGCAGAGTGAGGTAATATGTTCCCAGAAAGTCCTTTATATGCTGAATTTTTTTTTCCAGTGCAGAAATAAAAAAAAAGAAAAAGCACATTTCATCTTCTGTGTTTGATGTACTGTTTCTGAACCTATCCTCTCCATGAGTTTCCAAATCTTTTTCTCTTCTCCTCTCTTTTCTGTCTTACTCAGCATATTCCCCTTAAAGCTGTATCCTTCAAGGTCATAGTCTGCAGAGGGCTAATTGATTCTTCTTTCTCCTGGAGCCTGGAAGAGAAAGCAGAAGAGAGACAATCCTGATAATTGTGTCTGGTGTATTAGATTCAAGACTGGTCTTGTTCCTTTGGTTATTCTTTGCCCTTTATCAACAGAAAAATATTTCTTTCCATTTATCTTACCTTTTGTATTTTAATATAATTTTTCCTTTGCTGAAAGAGAAAGGAAAGATGAATGTTTTAAAGCATTCCCATATTTAGGGAGATTGTCAATCTTAGCATAATTACACCAGAGAAGATATTATTACAAGCAGGATATAATAATACACCCTAACCTACAATCTCCCTCCCTCTGAGAAGACATGAAGATTGTAAAAATGCTAACTCAGTTCAGGAGCTGAATTTCACTTCTTCTAACACTATCACCTTCAAACACAATTCCAGCCTTTATCCAGGCTGGTGAGAGATTCAGTTCTGTAGTACTGAAAAAAATGTGTTTCTGTAACAATAGCTTTTATATATATCTGCAAACCAACCATTCCGCTCTTTAAAGATCTTCCAACAGCCTCCTCTTTCCATTTAAGTCCACACAAAACTCCCAGAAAGGCCTGTGCAGAGCTTGCCTTTCTGGGGTGACAGCTCTGCCAAAAACAGTGCAGCACTCCTGTGCTTTGGTTCTGCCCCCGAGCAGAGGCACTGTAGGCCCTGGCAGGCCAAGCAGGCCTTGGCTTCGGGACCACAACTCTTATAGCTTGGTCAGGTGCCACAGGGCACACAAGAGACAGGGCAGGAGACAGACCACAGCATGAGTTTTCTGGAGTGGGTTTCCCTGAGAGCAGAGCTTGAGGACCATCAGAGAGCAGGGCCCAGAGGATACACATGCCTGGTGGCACATCCATGCAGCCCCTGCACCCATTTCACTTCTGGCTTCCCTGGCCAGCTCAGGTACCATGCACTGATGTGCCAGCTACACACATGCCGTGCTGGTGGCCAGCAGACAATCAACAGGTGTGTCTTCATCTCCTTACAGCACTGGACCTGCGCATGTCCCTTGGGAGGCAGGCAGTATTCCTTCCTTTCTCACTTATGCTGGGCCTCGCCTACAGAATGTGGCAAAGTGGAAAAAGAGTTCTAAATTACTGTCAAATACCTCTGACTACTCGAGGGACAGCTCTCTTCCAGTGTTTCTGATTTCTGCTTCCACTTCAGGTGTGCTGGGTCATTATTAGGAGGATATTGCTTTCTCATCCTAAGTGGAAAAAGGTTAAAAGATTGCTTCTGAAGCCTGGTAGTGGCTGTTTACCTGGGAAGTAGTCTCAGCTCGCCTTCTAATTTGACAAACAAGCTCCCTAATTATGGCAATGCTTTAAAGCATTCACCTTTCCGTTCTCTTTCAGCAAGGGAAAAATAATATTAACATACAAGAGGTAAGTCAAAGGAAAGGAATATTTCTGTATTGATAAAGGCATAGTGTAATAAAAGAAGCGAGACTAGTCTTAAGTTGAGGCACAATGGCTAAATTTCTTGTGTCCTTTTAGAGCTAGAGATGGGGAAAATTGAATAAAAATTGTACTGTACTTTGTATCATACCGTAAATATTGCTTACATTTTTTCCCTGCCTCTTTCACTTCCACTCATTCTTTCTCAGCTCTGCATTTGATGTCATTTCTCCTATTCACAGTAATTTGGGAAGGTCTGTACTTTAGCTTGATAGCAGGCTAGAGGGAGCCTCTCCCTCCACTTAGAAGTGCTGCAGCCCTCTAACTTCAATTTAAGGACAGAGGGTTTGTTCACAGAATCTTCATGCAATGTTTGTTCTTGTTCTTGAAAGACTAAATCTGACCACCCATGCTCTATATTTCAAATCCCCAACACAACACCATAGGATTGAGTCCATGCCTGGCGATCTCTGAACGTGTCAAGGTCTGGGATGTCTCAGAGAGCTGCAGAGGGCTGTACTCAGGGGAGGGGAGAGGACATGATACAGCACAGGCTCTACTTTAGCCTTTTCTGTGCTCACTGTTGCTCTGCAGGGCAGTGCCACAGGAGAGATTGTTTTTTCCCAAAACTTGAAGATGCAGGAACTTAGAGCACATGCTGGTCCATTTCTGACACAGTACTGGATTTGATTAGCTTCAGATACTTGACTTAAGTGCCTGCATTAGGAAGCTAGCTAGCCTTCAGCTATATATCCAGCATAAAGGGAGGGACTTCCCCTAGACAATTCCCAGAGTGACTCTTTAACAGGAGTCACTCTCTTTCCCCATGGGTCTACAGGGAGACTACCCTTGCAGTTCAGTTTCTAAGTTAAATATCTACTACACAATATGAGGAGTAATTTTGAAAGCCATGACTTTTCTTTATGTGTCTTGTGGATTAACAACATCTTGTCACAGGGAATTTACAGTTAATCATGGTTAAGATGCCAGACAAGTTTTGAGCCTAACTCA